CATAGGACAGGTAATTGCCGGGCCATCGCTTCAACACTCGTGTCAACTCTTTCACCCGACACTGAGATATGCACTCATCCCGAGAATAATATCCAATCTCTCTGTAATCAAAACAATTGGTGTCATAGGGTTTGGGTAGCGCTACAACTGATGTTTTTCGGTATAAAATATATGAGACATATTTGTCCACTCGTGTGAATTCAATACTATTTGAGATCTTATACTTAAACAATAACTCTCGTCGGGGATGAAAGTGCAGGTGAATTGAGGGAATGTTTTTATTGATCATAACATTAATCACTTCTAGGTATAAGTCGAGGAATATTCTGTTGTAATTGTCGACAAGAAATCTATTATCCAATTCGTTAAGCTTTTGTGTGAATAGGGAGTAACACATATCGTCCGCATTCATCGCTTGTTTTATTCTCGACAATACATCGCAACTCACATAAGGCGTGGAACTATTGATAAGCGGAGGTCTCATAACATTACAGCTATTGTTAAATATTATATCCATTGAATATATGGCATCCATTTGTTGTCTAATCGTTAGATTAGTATTCATATAGTCTTTGATTTTTTGTCTATTTTCAGCTTTGGTACCGTTTAGCGTAAGTCCAGTGAAGTGATCGTCTCTTAATAGGTATCCCTTATCGATACAAATACTAATCGCCGGTAAAGAGATTTGCGATGAATTCTCAAAACTCACTGAAATTGTTGTTTTATACGAGAAATAAATATCGCATATTTGAGATACTTGATATAAACAAACGCCCAAACAAACTAGGTAGAATATAATTTGAGCACATATTTTTAGTAATTTCAAATTCTCCATTAAATAAGCCTTCAATGTTCTTGATACTTTTATCATAAAAGCTTTGATGCTTTGATTTATGCGTGCAAAGCAAATAAATTTCATTTGTTTTTACAGACAGTTTGTTATATTGATTTCATTACAATTCTTGTCAACAAATATCAATTTAAAAACTATATCATAATAATTGATATTAAATCGTTTCCATAATAGTATAGAAAAAGGTTTTACATTTAAGAAAATATCATTTACTTCTTGATAAAGACTTGTCGATTAACCAGTTGTACATTAAATGCATAATTATATACATTAATGAATTGAATATACAGTCTGACCTCAATTATAATAGATCGGCGATGTTAAGATCTGAGTACGATAAAACAGTCCTATTAGGATCAGGTACAATAACAATACTCTAGTTAGCGCTAATAAAATCTTATTTTAAAACCGAATTCTGTTGTAATCGTGTTTTATTAATATAATAAAAATGGAACTGTATTATGTATCCATGTTCATCATTGTTAATAATTATGTTTTGTAAACATTTGATAATTTTACTTTGTATTCATCATTGATTTTCAATAAAATAAATACATTACGAACGTCAGTAATAATCCAAATCTTTATATAATAATAAAGACTTTATTATAAAGTGTCATTAGTGTTGGTTTTTATAATATGAGGTGATTTTATAATTATAAATGTATACTAATTTTTTAAAATATCCAAATTCAATACAATGTACAGTAGTAATCTATGCATCTAAATTTATTTACTGCATAGAAATTAGTATTTTACTGTTTTGTTGTATAGTTATTTATATTATTATGATTATGTAATAATTTTGTAAATAATGAATTTATAATTCGCACGAAAATGCAAGATGAATAAATTATAGATAATAACTTGTTGAATGACTGTTGAAAGTACCAACTTGTTTCTAGCGCAACAAAATAGACTGGTAAATGAGTGTTCAATATAAATTTTTATATTTATATTACATTCATTTTATGCTATTTACTGACAAGAATTTATTTCAATTAGTAACAGAATATTAATTTTACTTTTATTATAACAAGTTAATTAGAAATATCATAAACATTACATTGCATATTATTATCAAATACACAGTACAATACACAACAAACAATGTACCATATGTAAATATAACTTACAGTAGCACCAGCTTAATCAATATATGTACATGTAATTTGTTTGAGTTTATGTAATTAAAATAAAGTTATTTATATATTAGTAGTAGTTTGTTTGAATGTACGTTCAACATGTTTAAATTTAGTTTGTGCTAGATGAGTTTATTAGCAGAGGTTTTGTTTGGTTTATGCAAAATATATTATATAAGTCATAAGAATTATGAAATTCTTCACTTTAATGAAATCGACCATGTACTGTACTTATTGTTATTTTCAATGTATCAATTAATTTGAATAATTTAGCATTACTAAAACATTATTTTGAGTATTTTGATTATGATATTAGTATTAAATGTCAATTATTGATGTTATTATTAACTTATTTCAAATGTATTTTATAAAGAGAATAATTTGATGCATATTTTTTCAATACTTTCTCAAACAATCTAGCAACTAGATTCTAGTTATATAACTAAATACACATCTATTGCATATATGTTAAACATCTACTGCATGTCTATTGAATGTTTATTATTCTAGTATACCTTTATTTCTTTACTTATTAAATATCAGTTATTTTTGGTGTTGTAAACATTTTTATTAAATCATATTTTATTAAAATCTAACAAACAATTTGGGAATTAATTAAAAAATATTACATAATTTTTTCTTCAATGATTACAACAACGCGTCAATTGTTAACAATTTTTTATATTTTGAAAATGTAAATAATTTTCAATTTAAATTAAACTTTTTTAACTGTATTTTTATAACAAATATCTTAAAGACATATACTGTACATGTACATTAAATAAAATAAAAATTATATAATTAAAAATTATATTTTTAATATTAAATACCGTATAACTAGCACTTATCTTCGCTTATATCCTGTCGTTAATAATAAATGAGCTCATTGTTTGTCGTAAATAATGTATTATATCAATTTATATTCTGTGAGTAAATAATAAGAATAATTACCATATACAATTTTATGCTTAGTTTGAGAATAATGAAAAATTTCTAAATTAATTTTAAAAAATTCATTTACAGTAAACAATAAAAATTCCCGTTTAAACCACTAATTAATATTCACTGAACGTCTAATGTATTATAAACAATAATTACATACTTAATTATTTAAGCAGAATTTAATACTCAATAAATTCAATAACACAAATTAATAATTTGAAATTATAGTACCATAGACTCTATAGTCAAGTCATAACGAGTTAAAAACATGTTTATTGAGTTGGCACAAGTGACTGAACGGACAATCAATTGTCAAATTATAGCAATACATCAAGTGACCTTGGTAATTTAATCATTAAATAGTGCATTTTTCTCAGAACTTATTATTCGGGTGCTCAAACGTGCGTGATCAGTGATCACTATATTCGGGCATACACTGGCTTTTGATTACATTTTATTGTCAAATATATTGTAACTTTATATGTAATTATGACGTCAATAATATCAGACAAACCGCTTATTATTAAAAGCTATCAGTTTTATTAAATCAATCATGATCTTGAAATTTTATTATTACAAATCATAAGATTTTTTTAAAAGGTAAACTACTTTCAAGTTTCAAACTTTACATCTCTACACATTGTCGAATATTTATTATATTACATACTTTTTTATTATTAACAACAAAAAGTTAAAACAATGTCTGAACATAAAAAATCAATTGATATCATCGATGATAATAATAATAATAATACAATCAATTTGTGTGACAAAGAGATTGATAGCAATGATTACAAAATAAATATTGAGTGCAATCATAAAAAAGTTTGTACACTATTTGGATATGAATTTCGTGCAATAAAGTGGTCAAATGTGATATTTTTATTGAGCTTACACATCACGGCCGTTTATGGCTTTTACCACGGGCTCACAAATGACGTTACGATGTTTACCGCTATATTTGTTTCTTTAATATCCATTTTCTCTGGTCTGGGAATGTCTGTCGGTATGTCTTTGCAAAGAAATCTTAATAAAATGTACTAAAATGTTGTATAACTTATAGGAGGGCACAGACTTTGGGCACATAAATCATTCAAAGCTCGGTTTCCTCTAAAACTATTTCTACTTATACTGCAAACGACAACATTCAACGGCAGTGCTCTGGCCTACGCTCGCGACCACCGGACACACCATAAGTGGACAGATCAGGAACAGGACCCCAAGAATCCGAGTCGAGGCATGTTTTACGCGCACATCGGTTGGTGGC